GACGAGGTCTCACCAAGTTGCCCGGGTGGGTCTTGAACCCGTGGGCTCAGGCAATCCTCTCATCTCTGCCTCCTAAAGTGCTGGGATTACTAGCGTGAGCCACTGCGTCTGAACTCCCTTCATGATATTAAAATATTTTGAATTTTATAATTTTTTAGAGTCATGTAAAAGGGTTTTTTTCCTTTTATTTGAGTAGGAGTCTTACTCTGTTGCCCAGGCTGGAGTGCAGTGGCACAGTCATGGCCACTGCAGCCTCGACCTGCTGGGCTCAGGCAATCTTTCCACCTCTGACTTCCAAGTAGCTGGAACCTCCCAGAGTGCTGAGATTACAGGTATGAGCCACTGTGCTCGGCATGAAAAATGTCTTTAACAAAGGATATGTGAAAATTGCTGCTAACTCAAAATAGTACTACACCTAAGAAATTACTAACATATATTGGCATTTACTATGAAACTGGTACAAATAGTTAATGGCACATTACAAATCACACTATGGGAATATAACACAATACACTACTAGGTATACTGACTGTCCTGACAGCAATCTCTTTTTTTTAGTAGAAAAATATTTAAAATTGGTAATATTCACTGTTATTTAGGATACATGGGGAAAACATTTTCATACACTCCTGATTGGAGTGTAAACTGTGTAACTCAATTGTTCTCTAAAGGAGTCAATTTTTCTTCTTAGGGGATATCTGGCAATGCCCGAAGACATTTTTGTTTGCCATGACTTGGGAAGCAAGGTGCTGATGGTATCCTCTGGATACAGGCCGGGAGTGCTACAAAACATAAGAAAGCCTCACACAACAAGGAATTATCTGGTCCAAAATGTCAGTAATGTTGAGGTTGAAAAACGCTAGTATAATAATTTGACGCAGCAATTCCATTTGTAGGTGCCTAAAGAAACAAATCTTTTTACAGAGTTCTAATTACACATAAGAATGTTAAAATATTTTATTTATACTAGTGAAAACAGGATACCTAAATGCTGAACAACAGTAGATTAGCTGACGAAATCATGGCACATCCATATGGAGCCATGAAAAACCATGTGTATAAGATTATTTAATGACAAAAACTGTCCATGATACATTAAGTGGGAAAAAAGTTACCAACATTATAAATAGTATAATCTCATTTTCATTATAATATATACTGAGCATATATGTAACTACATATGAATGAATGGGTATGAGATGTACACAAACAAGTCTGACACAATATCCCTATCTGTATTGTACTCTGTGACTAGGGTTAGAAGATGAATTAAAATATATACAGCAGCCGGGCTCGGTGGCTCAGCCTGTAATCCTGAGCCTTTGGGAGGCTGAGGTGAGTGGATTGCCTGAGCCCGCGGGTTCGAGACCTGCCTGGGCAACTTGGCAAGACCTCATCTCTACAATAAATCAAAATGAGCCGGGCGTGGTAGAGCATGCCTGTAGTTCCAGCTACTTGGAAGGCTGAGGCTGAAGGATCGCCTGAGCCCTGCAGGTAGAGGCTGCAGTAGCCAGAAGCGTGCCCTGCCCTCCAGCCTGGGTGACAGAGACTCCTACTCAAAAAATAAATAAATAAATAAAAATAAACAAAACTGATCAAAGGGCTACCTCTTCTTGGGAAGTCTTCCATGACCTCACTTCCCAGGTAGAGTTGTCTCTTCTGTCTTTTGGGTTCATGGTCTGTATCTGGCATTCCAGAACATGTATCAGACTTTTTTATTTATTTATTTTTTTGAGTTGGAATCACTCTTGTCACCCAGGCTGGAGTGCAGTGGCATGCTCATAGCCACTGCAGCCTTCACCTGCTGGGCTTAGGTGATCCTTCTACCTCAGCCTTCTAAGTAGCTGGAACTACAGATGCACACAACCACGCCTGGCTAGTTTTTGTGATTTATTGTAGAGATGAGGTCTCAACCAAGCTGGCCAGACTAGTTGCGAACTACCGGACTCAGGCAGTCCTCTCTCCTTGGTATCCCAAAGTGCTGGGATTACAGGCTGAGCCACCGTGCCTGGCTGGACAGTTCTATTTTAATGTCTTATTCCTTCTACTAGATTTTGAACTCCTTAAAGACATGAACCATAATCTGATGATCAACTATTAGTACCCTTTCACTGTTCACTCCCACCAGAGCACTCTTGGCTAGTAGCACTATGGCTGGGAATTGGGCCACACTGTTCACTACCCTTGCTTTATGTATAACAGCTGCCATACCCAAGCCAAGGCAAGTCAAGGAGAGGTGAGGCTGGAGTTGAGGTGGAATTACAAGTCATAGGGATTTACACCTCCTTTTAGAGGTAATGAGGATGGCTTTCTGGCTGGGAACCCAGAAAATGGTCAAAGCTTCTGAGGAAGAAAGATTACAAATGGAGATGCCATTTTCTCCCAGCAAAGCAAAAGCCACAGCAATATTATCCTGGTGTTTTGTTGTTGCTGTTTTGAGTTGGAGTCTCACTCTGCTCTGTTGCTGCCTAGGCTGGAGGGCAGCGGTACGCTCACAGCCACCGCGGTCTCAACCTGCTGGGCTCAGGCGATCCTTTCATCTCAGCCTTCCAAGTAGCTGGAACTACAGGCACCCGCCACCACACCCAGCTACTTTTTTAGATTTATTTTTATTGTAGAGATGAGGTCTCACCAAGTTGCCCAAGCTGGTCTCAAACCCCTGGGTTCAGGTAGTCCTCTCACCTTGGCCTCCCAAAGTGCTGGGATTATAGGTGTGAGTCATCACACCCAGATATTCTGGTGTTTCTACAGTCAAACACTCAAGCAGCTCTAGAAACAAATACCCATAAGTTAATTTTGGTCTGATTAGCTTCTTTCTCTAGACAAATAGTTGGTATATGCTTGAGAAATGCAAGTGAATTTAAATATTAGCCAGCCCTATCCAAATAAAATCAGACAGGCAGAGTGGCACAGAAGAAGTCATGAATTTGGATGCAGATGAACAAGGGTCAGGTCTTAGCTATGCATTTAACCATTATGCAACTCCACTATGTTCCAGCCTCTCTCTCTCTCTCTTTCTCTCTCTCTCCCTATTTTTGTAGAGATGGGGCCTTGCTATGTTGACACGGCTGCTCTCAAACTGCTGGCCTCAAGCAATTTTCTCCTTATCTTCTCAAAGCACTGGGATTATAGGCATGAGCTACCACACCTAGTCAAGATTCTTGATTTACAAATCCCCATTGTGACTGCTGCAATACACAGGTTAAAAATAAGGGCTCTGGTGTCTGAAGGCTTGGGTTTGAATCTGCTTTATCATTTACTAAATCTGTGACCTTGGGCAATTTAGTTAAGCTCTCTGAGTTTTGGCATCCTCATCTATAAGAAAAGATTTACTTCCTAATAAACACTGTGAAATTAAATGAGATGATACATTTAGGGAGCTCAGAACCCAATGCATGGCATGGAATTACATTCATATAAGTATTGGCTATTATTTACTCCACACAGGGATGATATAAAGATTAAATGAGAAAAATATTGTGAAGGTGTTTACAAGTTAAATTGCTATACAAATATGAAACATTCTTTAAAATGTCATCTAGTATATCCTACACTAAAAAAAGGATGATTTTTGGAAATGATAATACTCTCCATAGGGCTAATGAGGTTGAAACCATAGATGTATTTCATTTTGTTAGACTATATGGGTCAGCACAGTTTAACAAAAAAACCTTTCTCTTTGGCCTTAAGGATCAAACTGCTATTCTTTAGAAGGACTATTATTAATGTCATTGATAACCACAGCTCCTATATATTGAACATTTACTATTTCCTCATGATGCTCAGTGCTAAACATGTTATCTCATTCAGTTTTCAAAACAACCATAAAAGGTAGAAACTTAGTCACTAATTTTTATTAAGAGATATGTTGGCCAGGCTCAGTGGCTCACACCTGTAATCACAGCACTTTGAAAGGCCAAGGTAGGAGGACTGCTTTAGCCCTAGAGTTCGAGACCAGCTTGGGCAACATAGTGAAACCTCATGTTAAAAAAAAAAAATTGGCCAGGAGTGATGGTGTATGCCTGTAGTCCCAACTACTTGGGAGGCTGAGGCAGAAAGATTGCCTGAGCCCAGGAGGTCGAGGCTGCCATGAACCAAAATCACTGTGACCAAGCCACTACACTCGAGCCTGGGCAACAGAGACTCCGACTCAAAAAAAAGAAAAAAAAAGGAAAAGAGATATATTACCTCTGAAGGGTTAGAACTCATGACAGCTCTTTACCTTAGCGGTAAAAACAGCCTGGTACAAGAGTGAAGGAAAAGAACAAGGTAAAGAGAGATTTATAGATTGAGAAAGCCAATACCTTTCAAAGAGGCTTACGCTGTGCTCATGCTAAGTCTGCAAAAATGATCATCTTACCTTTGTCCAGAGACTATGGCAGCATTTGCTTCGAGTTCTGTAAAAAATACAAAGGATAGAAACGAGATGTAGAAGCTGCCACAGGGAGATGCTAGGTGTCTGCAAGAATTCTGAATACCCTATTTAGGCTAAAGGGTCTCTGTGCCCGGCAAGATTCTTTTTTTTTTTTTGAGTTGGAGTCTCACTCTGTCACCCAGGCTGGGGTGCAGTGGTTCACTCATGGCCACTGCAGCCTTGACCTGCTGGGCTCAGGCGATCTTTCCGCCTCAGCCTTCCAAGTAGCTGGAACTACAGCACATGCCACCATGCCCAGTAACTTTTGATTTATTATAGAGATGAGGTCTTGCCAAGTTGCCCAGCCTGGTTTCGAACTTGTGGGCTCAGGCAATCCTCTCACCTCAGCCTCCCTAAGTGCTGGGATTATAGATGTGAGCCACTGCACCCAGTCAAGATTCGTCCCTACAGGGTATAGAGACAAAGTTGGCACGGACACAACTTGGTTTGTCTGGGACATATGACAGTTACTTGACCTATTTTTATTTCTACTCCAAACTGCTTGGATCAATAGAACTAAGTTCGCACTATCTGGGTCATATTTCACCCAGGTACAACTAGGTTAGTAAAATAACCTTACTCACATGTAGAAGAGATTGTTTTCATTCTTAAAATATTTCTACCATCTTGGTACTTTTTTTTTTTTTTTTTTTAGAAGATGGTAATCTTCAAATGTCCTGAACATCTACTAAGGATTACATTCTCCTCCAAAGAACTTACTCACTGAGTTTTAGAGGGCATTGTGCTTTGCTTTAAGAATCTGTCTACAAGGCCAGGTATAGCCCATGCCTATAATGCCAGTGCTTTGGAAGGCAGAGGCCAGAAGACTGCCTGAGCCCAGGGGTTTGAGGCCAGCCTGGGCAACTTGGCAAACCCTAGTCTTTACAATAAATAAAAAAATTAGCCGGGTATGGGGGTGTGTGCCTGCAGTTCCAGCTACTTGGAAGGCTGAGGTGGAAGGATTGCCTGATCCCAGCAGGTCGAGGCTGAGGTAGCCATGA